ATATAATCTTAAAAAAAAAATCTACTAGATTGTTCTGGCATTTTCATTTCTTCATCTTCCTCCTCCGAGAGGAATTCTCCCTCCTCCCTGTCTTCAATGTTGGAAACGGAAGAATCCTCCTCCTCCTCCCTATGTTCCTCTCTGTGTCTTTTATGAGAACAGGGAGGTGCCTTCTGTGCTGCCTTTGTAGGCCAGGGAGAGGGGCCAGGGAGAGATGGTACCTGTTTATCTACTTGCAGTTTCTTACTTTCGAACTGCTAGGTTGGCAGGAGCTGGAACTAGAGATGGGAGCTCACTCCATCATGCGGCACACTTGGGTCTCAAACTGCTGAACTACTGACCTTCCACAGCCTGCAGTTCAGCGTCTTAACCACTTGAGCCACCACAGCTCCTTATGCTCATTACTTCCTAATAATTCAGGTGCTCTGAGCAAGGCACAGCATGATAAATTCAGAATAGTAGAGTAAGGTGCATGCTGAAGATCACTTAATGAAGATCAGCTATCCCTTTGTATTTTTCCCCTACCAGCAGTCAAGGTTGTTAAGAGAATATTTGGCATACAGACAGGACCCAACAGCCTGCCCTTTTGCCATTGCTCTGTGAGGGAAGCAAGAGAACAGGAGAGTATGCATTTTACCATCACCACCCCTACTTGGTTCCAGGAAAAGCTGCTTGCCCTTCAGATGGGGTGATCAGTCCTGCAATTGCTTTCCATGCCAAAGCACCTCTGAATGTCTCTTGCCTTGAAAACTCTATGGGGTCACCATAAGTTGGGTATGACTTGATGTCACTTTCCACCAGAACTAAGGCCCCGGCACTGTGATTGAATGGTTGTGTATGATGTTGCTGTACAATATAGTAGCTGCTCAATCTGCCTATGGCTTTCCTCAGGCAGAGATCTTCTCAGTGCTGTGTTTTAAGTTTCTTTTAACTGGAGATTCCAGGAATTGAACTTGGGATCTTTGTGCAAAGGGATGTGCCCCCACCTCAAGTTCAGAATTTGCCAGTGAAGTGCAACAGCTGGTAGGGCTCTGCTGACAATAGGACCTGAGAGAGAGCCAGCTGGATATAGTGGGAGAGCTAGAGATGTAAATTTCCAGAAATATTGAAGCTTGGGGAAAAACCCAGTCCCCCCCCCCGAAAAAAACGGAAATTTTCAGAAAAATTGAAAAAAATGCCACATTAGCACTTTTTTCTTTTTCAGATTGAAAGTCATTCTGCTACTTTAGGAACATAAGATATGACTGTGAACAATTTTACTTGGCATGAAATGATCACAACTAGTATATTAAAAATATAGTGTATCCAAACAATTATTGTGGGTGGGTGGAGGGAAGTAAAGAACCGGATTAGTAGTAATTAAATTATTATTTACACAAAGGTTATAAAGATAAACTAATGTAGCTAAATGATTCAGTTTTCTGGAATCGGATAAATGAAAACTCTTACCTTTTTAAATTAAGTACATACTTTCAGGTCCTTTTTGTTGCTCTGTATTTTCTTCCAATGCTTTGAGGCCTAGTGAACCTTGAGTGCCAGCATACCCACCCATATGCAAAAACAAAACTGAAAGCTTTTTCTTTTCTTGTGACAATAGCACCTCCTAAAGGAAGAAATGCATCTTGTTCTTGCATTGGAGAGTTCAGTTTGTAACCTAGGACTTGCTTGTTTTGAAAATATTTGAACACCTTGTCTTAAAATATTTTATTCATCATGTTAAAATAAAATGTTCCACAATTAATTTTTTTCTTTTCTTTTTTTCAATTTTTCCATTTTTTTGGAAAAAAGCAAAAAAGGCTTCAGGGGAAAAGGGGGGGATATCCCCCCCAAAAATGCTTCAGGTTTTTTTCTGGGCCTTCACATCTCTAGGGACAACCCAGGTTCAGATCTCCCCCCTCCCCCCATGCCATAGAACTTGCAGGGTGACTTGGGCTAGTTGCTTTCAGTCTTGATCTACTTCACAGGATTGTTGTTTTTAATTTTTATTTTTGTAATTTTCTTAAACATATGAAATGTATTACAAACATAAAACCAAAACTGTAACTTTAAATACAATCAAAAATAAACATGATAGCTAACATGCTTAGTAATCCAACCACACACACTCAAGGATTAATTGTATATTTGTGTATTCCCCTACAGCATCCCAAAATATAATCCTACCATTATACCTCAATTTCTCAATTATGTAGTAAATTCATGGGGATTACATTTTGTTCAGCCATGTATTGTAAAGGTAAAGGTTCCCTTGCTCGAAAACTGGGCACTAAATAGCAACGAATTTTGAATGATATTTTTGTCCATCTAAAGGAGATGTGGAATATGAGTGTTTACCCATTATAAATTGGTCCCAGATTTTGTTATGACATTGGGATATTGAGGGGGGAGTCTGATCTTTCCATTTTGTGGAAATAACTAATGATGTTGCAGCTAGCAAAATAGCAATCAATTCTCTTGTAGTGTTTCTCATAAATAAATCTGTCCAGTAGTTTAATAAAATTGCTTCAGGAGTGAAGGGAAGCCCTATGGTTGTGATCATTTCATAGGATTGTTGGAAGGATAAAATGGAGGAGAGGAGAATGATGTATGTGGCCTTGAGCTCCTTGGAGTTCCTTAGAGGAAGGGCAGGACAAAAAGGTACTGGAGAAATAGGCCTCCTCCTGAACTTCGGTTGTAGAAATAGGCAGCGAGGAGGAGGCTTCCCCATCCTCAAATGACGGAAAGTGGCATAATAACCATGTTCACTATGCACAGTCAGGAGGTGGTGTGCTCAGCTACATCTGCCAGAATGGGGAAGAGGAACTGAGGCCACGGTGTGGCATGGCTTGTTCTGCTGTATTGACTCATTTAGTATTGGGCTGCACATAAGCTTTGTTGAAGTGCTTGGAATCCCTGTTAAAATGAATTACTACCTTGTTTGAAGTTTTTACTGTCTGTTGACTTCAAGGGACTCAAAGGTTATTTATAAACTAGGGTGGGATATTCAGGAGAAGAGAGTCCCTCTTAATTATGTTTTTCCTTTGTAGTTACGCCTAGTCATAATGCAAGCTATTACAGTTTCAGTTTCACATTTGAACTTGTAGATGTTGTTGTTCACTATTCGTGTAAGGTACAGGCAGCTTAGATGTTGACACTTTCTTTTATGATGCTTTCAAGATTGTTTTCACTGATTTTGATTAAGATTGGTAAGGATCACTGGTATCTCCTTAAAGTGTTCCATTAAAACACAGTGATCCATGGGTTACGATGGTCTCACTCCCGTTTCTGGATTCTGGGAGGCCTTCTCTCATCTTTTGTCATCTCCCCATAGTTATCAGCTGCTGAATGCAAGCATGTTCTTACCTAGATGCCTCACACATTAAATAGTGAGCAGTCCTTAAAATATCACAGCTTTAAAGGGGAATGTCTGCATAATGTAATCTTTGAGGCATTTTCAGAACGTCATCTTTCAGCTTCTTATGCATACACATATTAATGTAGGACAAAGCTGGTCGAGCACAAATCTAAACTGAGTGTGTATTTCTCTCCGGTGTATAGTTGTGTGACTGGCCTTCTGGTGTGCTATGTGAAACAAATCTCTTAGTTTTCTGTATCATATGTGAAATGCACATGCACGTGTCAGGTTCTGCTAGCAGCAGCACTAAAGGCAACAACAGAACTGCATACATGACAAAATAAGCCCTGTTCGGGTGGTCAGTATGGTGTGCAGTGTAGGTAGAGGAGTCTAGAATGCACCTGTTGGCCCCAACCCAGGGCTCCCAAGTACTTACCTTAATTCGGCCGGGGATGTATAGTTCTTCACGGGACCATTCCCACAGGGAAAACACAGGCGCTGCACTATTCCGTCACCCAGACGTGACGTAGGCACATAGCCGGTACCATCGAGTTTCCAGTCCCATTACCAGAGCATCGCCCAGCTACGTGCCTACGTCATGTCTGGGCGAACGAATAGTGCAGCGCCGGTGTTCCAAGCAAGAATCTTCCGGCGGGGAAGCATGTGTCCCCCGCCGGATCGTAGGTAGGTACTTGGAAACCCTACCCCAACCCTATTTTCTATCCCGAGGAATTGAACAGGAGGGAAAAAATGGCCCCCACATAGTGATGCTCTAGGAATTTCCTCTAGTTTCTGTGGTAAAAGATAATAGAGACTAGGGGATGCAGCTTAGATCATCACCTAAAAGTGATATCACATCTTCTTGAACTCAGCCTTCCCCAGGTGCCATCCCCTGAATCTTCTGCTATTTGCCAAGGCAGTGTTGGGAACCCTAACCCCATCGATTAGCCATGCATACAGTTGCATGTCTACCGTGAGCCCCTAACAGAAGGGTGTCTTCGTGTTCAGTACCCTGCTATTTGCAGTGTTCTTTAGAGACTGCCACATATAGATCTGTAGGTACAGAAGGCTCAGTGCAGACATTTCTGTGTGTGTTCAGCAGGTACCGACCTGTTCTGTCAACATGTATAGAGCTTATGCAATTTTGAACAACTAAACAAGAAAATTGTGTTCCTGGACTTCATTATTGCAGTTCATCAGCATGTTTCAAATGTATCAGATGGCATGGTTCAGATGAGCCTGGGATATTTTGGGGCATATGCATTCCTTCCCCAGAGGTTGCTGCTTTAGCCTGTCTGTGATTAATCCTCCATTAAAATCCGAAGCACCCCTTGAAAGGACCCTGGCCCTACCTCTGCCTTTTACTGACAGAACCAGGGTTGAATACTGGCAATACTATTGTGGTTGCCTCGCAACAGCCACTGAGGGCATTCATTTGTGAAAGCTACAGGCACTTCTTTTATCATTTGAGGGGGTTTAACCCTCCCAATACATTTTTCTCGTATTTCAGATTTTTCTGCAAACCCGGGCATTTTTCAGGTTTGTAGGAAAACCTCTCTTGTCTCTGGATTTAAGTACATGTAGATTTGGCCATGCTGAGAATGAGATACTCTAATTTCATCTTCAGCAGAAGTTGACATTCAGTTTCTCTCTTTCCTCTCTGCAGGTTTTTACAATGGAATCCCTGGATAAAACAATCAATAGCTATCTGGATGTGTGGCTTGGACCAAGAGGTATGTGATTTTTGTTTGGGATAGGTGGAACCGCTGAGGGCCTGATGATTGTCAAATATCCTTGCACATATTGGGCTCTGCAAAATTTACAGCACAGATACTGAGCAGTAGCAACTTGAACTGAAGCACAAGGGACAGGTTTATCTGAGGAACTATAAAGGATGTGCTTTAGGATCGTTGGTTTAAAAAAAAATGGATTGGAGCTTGCAATTTCCTTCTAGGTAAACAACCTTTTCTCAGTGGAACAATCTGTGAATGGGCCAATGATTTAAGCTGTCATGACCTTAACCACCTGCAGGTAGCAAATAATTTTTTTTTAAGTAAGACTACTTCAGAAACTTTCCAGAACGAAACTGGGAGAGCAGTTTTGCTCCGCTGCCCAGGATATTTTAAACCCTAGGATACTTAAACCGAGACACTTTCAGCTTGAATCCACTGTGCTCCTCTGTCAACATCTCAAATGGAAGACTGCATCAGCAGAGTTGACAAAATTTTGAATCCACGTAAGTGGGCCAGCCAACAGGGCTAAATTCTTACAGTAGAATCCCAATGTTAATGTGGTCGTAGGAACTGCTTTACATGCAGGCGCCAGTTTATGGGAGCAGCATGTTGAACAGTTCCATATGTAAGTGACCTCAAACCTGGTATTGCTGCTCAACAGCAAAATTCAGAACAAAAAAAAATCATAAATGTAATGTTGCATTAGTGGATATCTAAGATTTGTGTGCAACTGAACAACAACAAATGTAGAGGCCATAGCTCTGTGGTAAACACGCATACATCACATGTAAATGATCCTAGGTTCATTTTCTTGCATCTCGTATGGAAAGAGGTATGTGAACAGAAGTGCTTCAGTCTGTGATCTTGGAGAGCAGCTTCCAGGCAGAGCAGCTTATATTGAACAAGGCAGACCAGCAGCCTGACTCTCTGCATAAGGCAGCTTCATATATTCATAAACCTACGTATTAATTTAAGATCAGCAAGGTATTGAAAAAACTGTTTACCTTTGAATTGGATAATGTCCCCAAGTTTCTCAGCATGGATGCCCCAACATTTTAAAGTGGGGCTATTAACAGTAAAATCTTAGATTTCTTTTTTATCTCTTGTATAAAACCAGTGAGCTCAAACTGTGTCTTGCTTCTGCAAGCTAAGAAAATTCAGAGCAATTTTTTTAAAAAAACAAAACCTTAAGTTCTTACCTCCCCCCAATAAACCTGGCAATTTTAACTGTAGAATTCAATCATGTTGTGAATGTAAAAATTAAACAGTGAGCCAGGCACCTCTGGTGGGAGAAGAATCTAATAAGGTGGAATACTGCTTATATTTTGAAAGCCTGATGCAGAGATTGAGGGATGGGAGGAGAAACAAGAGACTGAAAAGGAAGTTTGGAATAAATGTTCCTGGAATCAAGATTTGGAGATAAATATGAAGGCTAGTATCAAATGCTCCCACTGGGAAGCAGCATTTTGTAAAGGGAGAATAATTAGTTGTACTTCCCTTAGCAACAGGGCAATTAAATAAAACCACACTACATGTAGAGGTTGTTGTATAATTCCAAACAATCAGCCTTTCTAATTGTATTTGCCAGCTGCTTATTCCCTCAGCTTTTGTTGCTAAAGCCTTGCTTGGGGGGGGGGGGGACCACCACAGTTTGTACTGGGACCCCCCTGTTCTTGGGTTCTGGTGCCAGAGTAAATCAGAGAACTCTGCAGTTGGTGCATCCATCTATGTGGCCACCATGCCCTTCAGAATGACAAATATTTTGTTAGCCTTATGACATTTTTAGTGCCTAAATGTAGTAACTTTGTGTTTGTGTTCTGTTTCAGATCCCAGAGTAAAAGGGTGGCTTCTCCTGAGTGATTACACACCTACCTTTATTTTTTCTGTCTTTTACTTACTAATCGTATGGTTGGGACCAAAGTATATGCAGAACAGACAGCCGTTCTCATGCAGGGGTATTCTAGTGGTCTATAACCTGGGACTTACGTTGCTCTCCCTTTATATGTTTTATGAGGTAAGAAATAATTGATGCTTGTGTGTGATGATTTCTGTCTGTGTTGATCCTTTCAGTAGAAGTTGTGGTCTTTTTCTGTGGGAACAATGGAACAGTTCTAAGATACTTGTTTTGAGTCTTCTATGATTACTCTTTCAATAAAAGTCAGATTCACACCACCCATTAACATATCAGATGCAGTCTAGTCCAGATTACCCATTTTTTGGTAGGATACTTTAGTGGAAGAGAGGGAAAGATGTCACAGTGTTGAGGCTGTTTCCATTTAAACAGCTCGAACAGCGATCATGTGGAGCCCTCTATGCCCAGTTCATGCATGTGTATTCATCATTCAACTTTTAACATCCAGTGATCACTTGCATGTAGAAAAACTCCACCATATCCCTTTTTCTTTAAGAGACAACAGATCACACTGCTGTCTGCAAGTCATCTATGTATAAGAGACCAGGTTATACTCATGTGTAAACCAACCCTTGGCATAAGAAAAGAACTATTAAAAGGAATGATATGGAAAAACTGCTTGAAATATACAAGGAAACCAAAAGTCACAATATTATTTTCAGGAATGTATAACTTGTACTTTCTGCCTAATTGCAGCTGAAGCAGTGCACAGACTTTAAAAATGGATATAGTCATATATGAGACGCTTCCCTTTAACAGGAAGTGAGTGATAGAGGGTATCACGTTCATCCTGGTAAAGTTCACTTTTTAGTAGCAGCCTTTCATAGCAGCTGTAATAAAACTTGAGAGCTTTGGGAAAGCTGCTTTTCCCCCTGTCATCCTTTATTAATTTGGTCACACCTTAAAGAACTGAAAATGTACCAAGTCTGATGTAGCAGAGAGTGTGAAAAATATGGAAAGACCTATATTGCTCAAGAATTGCATATAGAGACTCATCTTGACTACTGAAAAGGAGTACATTCCCACATATTGTGTATAGTGGAAAGTTGCTTCCTTAATTTTTCTTGTGCATTCACGCTAGCGGTTAGGCCACAGAAGTATAACATGCATTATTTTTATCCCTACTCCCAATCTCCTCTAGTCACAACCAAAAAGGCCATGTGGCGTAGCTGAATTATGTCTGAGGGTGTTTCAAACTCTTGCATTTGTGGTACTCACTGGTTGGATCCTTAAATAACATCTCACACAACCTGTAAATGTTGTCTTCTTCATGGTTTCCACAATCTCTAGGAAGGCATGTTTGCTTCCAGCATTAATCTGTCCCTCATTACATGGTGCACCAAGGCCACTTATTTTGTTTGGTGGACCATTCACGTGCCAGAAGCTATGCAGCCTAGTACTTAATCTGTGCACACCTTCTGTCTCGTGTGTTCTGAGCTAGGGAGCCAAGTGAAAATGAGGGTGATTCAATAATACTATTGAATGTAATAAGCTGGATGTGGATGTGAATTCCAACGGGAAGGTAAAGTGGTCTCTTTCATAGATGGCTTGACCACAGAGATGAACTATGATGTTGCTTTGGGCAGCCAGATTCATCCCATATCAAGAAGCAAGCAAGGCCATACTCTCAGAAATATGAGGAGCCAAGAGTCCATTCATTCCAGCATCCTGTTTCTCATGGTGGCCAGTCATCTGCCTACAGGAAGCTCACAAGCATGGCATGAAGGAAACAGCTGTTGCCTCCCAGTAGCTGGTATTCTCACATGCACTCCCTTTGAACCTGGACATTTTGTTTAGCTGTCATGGACTTCCTTATTGCCTTTGTGTGTTGGATGAATTTGCCTTTTAAACCCATTTTAGCTGGTTCCCATCACTTCATGTTGTGTCAATAAAGTGCTGTATGCTGACGTTCTTCCTTTATTCTACTCCCCATCCATTTCCTTGAGTGAGTGAGTTCTATAAATAAAGGAGAGGGAGTGGGGAGGGACACACACTCATGTTGCTTTTGGTGTGGATGGTTACATTGTGAACTGATTGTACCCTGATGTCACCAAGGGTTCTGGGACTGCTCTCAGTTTGTACAAGATCAGTACCGTATGGCTGGCCCAAGATTTATCGCTACCACAGAAATGTGAAGGCCCATCTCGTATTTGGATGGACCTCATGTATAGTGCCATAAGCACCTCTGAAGAAGGGTAGGATAGAACCACACCATGCATTTTTTTGATCCCATCTTTTTGTAAAAATGTTTAAAGGGGCTTACAGCAAGTATGCCACCAAAGCACATGAATAAAATGTCCTGAAATAGCAGTTGAAAAATGTAATTTCCTTATTGGAAAATATTCTTAATGGTCCAACAAAACAAGGCTTCTTCCACAAGCATATTGGGATGCACTTGATCACAACATTTGAGAATTGTACTAACTGTGCAGATATAATAGGAGCAGTTTGTTCTGATACAATTAGCTTCCATTTACTTTTCCTCTTGAATATGTTTGCCATGTCAGAGCACATTTTCTAGCAAGATAACATCTGTGGTATGTCTTCAAGTAGGGAACACTTTGGCACCACAATCACGAAGATATTTTTCTTGTAGCCAGTCATTTTTATAACTCCGATCATGAATATTTTTTCTTCAGTTTTTCCCCCCTCTCATGACAAAAAAAATGTGACCTCATAATTCTCACAAGCTGGTCCTATGTATTCTGCCATTTTAAAGCTGGAAATTCATGGTGCCTTACTTAAGTGTTGTGTTTCTAGTTTGGTTTATTTAATTAATTTATAACCTGTTTTTCTCCCCAATGGGGACCCACAGCAGTAGGACCCTGTGAGGTAGGGTAGGCTGAGAGAGTGTGATGGGCCCCAGTTCACCCAGCAAGCTTCCATGGTATGAGTGGGGATTCAAACCTGGGTCTCCCAGAACTAATCCGACATTCTGAACCACCACCACTGGTTCTCACTATTTGAACTATGGTTTATGCTGTAAAAAGCTAACTCCACCTTCCCCACAACTTCCAATTTCTAGCATTACCACCCATGGCACAGCCTCAGTAAAACCCCTTTCCATGCCTCGCTCTCCTTTGCATGTGCTCAGTTTTCCGTTGCCTGATTTCAGGCAGTGAGGTGGGCTTGAGCAATATATCTGGTCATTAATAAGTAGTGGGTACTACCCCCCCCTTGGATCACCTTATATCGGGAAAACCTCAGGTCTTTTTAAGTACTTTCAAGAAGAACGTGGGAAAAAGAAGGGGGTTAAGCATACCGCCTCCTCCCAGTCCCGTCCCTCCCTTTCTCGAGCACAGTTCTTCTCTTCCCACTGGAAGGCAAGTCCCCGCTGATGGGGGAGTGGTAATACAGGGAGCTCCAGAATGTCCTTTCCCATTAATGAGAGGCTTCCTCTTTTACCTCTCTCGGGCACTTCCTGACTCCAGCGATGTGTTCTTTCTCAATTGTAAAGTTGCTCTTTGTTCCCCACCCCACCCTCACTTGCAAGGATGGTGCAGGGGGTGGGGGTGGCTAGCTGTAGGGCAGGGGTGAACCCTACTGAAAGATGATCCTGAATTTGAAGAAAACTCTGCATTGATGACCAGTGAGGGAAAGCTTTTCCAAACTGAGAAAGCTTACGCTGCATCCTCCTCTCCCAGTTGTAACTCGGCTTCCGTTCCCCAGTAACAAGCTGTGCCAGGGACTCAGCTTGGAGAAGTGGGGGTTGACAAGCCGAAAGCACTCAGCCTGTGAACTGATGTTGGCAGGGCGAATCTTGGTTCCATAGCCACTGATCTCTTTATCCCTTTTATTTCCACCATGTATATCTGGACGGGGGGCTGCATCTCAGTGGGAGAACATCTGCCTTCTGTGCAGCAAGTCCCAGTTCACTCTGCAGACTGTCCAGTGAAAAGGACCAGGGAACACAGGGTGTGAAAGATCTCTACCTGAAACAGAGAAGACGCCACCTCTCAGCTTAGGCAATACTGACCTTGAGAAACCAAGGACTTATCTCAATGTCAGGCTGCTTCACAGTTGCATTGGTAACTGAACAGAATGTCTGGGTTGTCCTACAACTGCTGTTTTCTCTGTAAGAGAACTGATAGTATTTGTTGGAGAAAGTGTAGATCAGGACTTCCTAAATGGCAGTTGCCCTGATCTCGATGGCCCAGGCTAGCCCAGTTTATGAGCTAAACAGAGTCAGCCCTGGTTAGTATTTAGACGCCCTGACCTGGATAGCTGTCAGGTTTCAGAAACTAAGCAGGGTCAGCCTTGGCTAGTATTTGGAAGGGCAACCTCCAAGGAATACTAGGGCTGTAATGCAGAGGCGACCAATGGCAAACCACTTCTGAAACGTCTTTTGCCTTAAAAACAAATCTAGCTCGCCACCTAGTGGTGCATAATACTAGAAAAAGAGCTAGAACTTCTGACTGCCAGACAACCTTAGTGTCTCCTGGCTATTCTACACACAATGTCATATGATGATGATTGGTAGTATTTGGATGGGAAACCACCAAGGAATACCATGGTCACTGTGCGGAGGAAGGCAATGCCAAACCACCTACATTAGTCTCTTGCCTTGAAAACCCTACAGGGTTGCTGTAAATCGGCTGCAACTTGACAGCACTTTAGACACAACCAGCAACAGGAAACTTGTCAGTTACCAAAGAGTGGATGGAAAGGAGGGAAAAATCTCTGTGGAAAGGTTTCAGTCAGATGTGGGATGAAATCACTCCCTAGAAAAAGTAGGGAGTCTGTCCACTGTCAGTAGCTACAGATCAGAAAGCTACATGGTAAGCGGCTATTTAAATGGCTTGCACAATTCTGCATTGTTTGTCAGTCACACAGACCGAGTCTGTGGCTAATACTGCAGGGAACAATTAATGGTCCTCTTTCCCAGGGGTACTTTGTAAAAGTACTTGCATGGTTGAAAATATGAGGCTGAATAAAGTTGCTAAGTGGAACTTCAAAAAAAATACATAAACACAGCAAATGCTACTAGCCCTGTTCCTAAAGGAGATTTTCACTGCTTTCAAAGAAAAGCTTAGCCAAAACTCTGCCAATTAGTGCTGTGCTGCACACTGGAAGCATTATAAAAATAAGGCTATTGTCTGCTTTTGCATACAAAATGCTTGTTTTTATTTGCTGCTGGAAACAGATAAGCTTTAGTACCCCAAACTACTACTGTAGTTTGCTGCTTATAAATCCTTTGTAGTTTATGTTATATCTGGCTTCAGCGAGTTACAGTCAGGTTTGCTAATACTCTGAAGAAAGGAGCCTTCTCACAGAGGCCAGTGGACATGATTGGTCCTGAAATGCAGTACAGTTTGTTGTAGTTAATCCTTTTGGATCATGAAATGCGTTCTTAAACCATGAAAGCTGGGTTACTGAAAGAATGTGACCTGAATTCTAAGAGATCAGTGCGGGGCATTTTCCTTGCTGTGCAAACATTCTCACTGGGGTCTCCAGATACATGAATAGTACAAACACACTGAAGTGTACATTTAGCGCATTTTGTTCTGGCAAATTGATTTAATTACACAAATGAAACAGTTTGAGCATAGACGTGACTACAGCTTAGGATATTACTCCCCGCCTCAGCTTTTTGAAGACGTGTGCTTTACTTAACACTCCTCAGAACTGTGAGCTCAACGTAGCCTTTTTGGGTGGGCAGAGCGGGACCCTTCCTTCCATTTTCACTAGAAGAAAAGTTGGCTGGAGCCAACCCAAAATAAGACTTTAATCTTATCCTGTCTGAAGAAGTCCCTAGTTGAACATGACAGAGAATAACCAATTCTAACTTGCTTGGCCAGCTACAACAAATAGCAGTTACTAAGGCTGGAAACAGAAGGTGGCTTTGGGTATTTTTAGTGATTTGAAAGTCACATGGAAAGGTGATTGTAGCATGTACACTCATTTTACTTTGTGCCTCCAATAAACACATTTTGCAGACGTTTGTCCAGTGGCAACTTGGGAACATGAGAAGCATTAATTTTCTCTGGCCATTTTTAGTTCTCTTAAACTGACTCCAGTCTCAGCTTAAAATCACTCCTGGGGGCTTTATCTAAGATCACATGGTGAGCACTTTGGTTAATTAACTTAAAGCATTGCATTTTTAAATTTGTAGCATGAAAAAAAGTGTAGTGTTGTCAACAATTGACTGTTTATTTCCCTTTTTATTAGCTGGTGACAGGAGTATGGGAAGGAGGATATAATTTCTTCTGTCAGGATACGCACAGTGGAGGTGAAGCTGATATGAAGGTAACATTATACATTATGAGCTGACTCTGGAACTTTGCTTTGTCTCCTGTGTTGTGCGTGAAGGTCACTGCAGTAGTAGAATATATGTGCAAATTTGGGAAGGACATGAAATTTTCCATATTGGTATAGCTGAAGGAAAGGCTTACTTTTAAGTCACTCTGAAGGAAAAGGGAAGAAAGCTGAAAAGTATGCAGACGGAGAGTGATTTCAGCTAAGCATACCTTTATTTAGTTCAGGACAAAGACAACTAACCGGCTCGCAGGCCGGCTTATATTCCCTCTGAGAAACCCACCACCAACACACACCCCCACTCCCGATAGGCTATTTACAGTAACCAAGAGACCTATTGGCCTCTTGGCCAGGACCTAGCCCTTTCATTGGGCCTGGCTAGGATCCTATTTGCCCATTGTCTTTAGGTCTGAAGCTTTGGGTATTTGTGCCTGGACAAGTCCAGGCATGCCCGGCCCTGTCAGGGCCTGATACACTACACCCCTCCCCCCATGGTCCGCGATGCATCCGCAGACAAAGTCCTCTAGGTAGGCTGGGGGCTTCCTGATGCGAGCCGAGCGGCGAGGTTCGGGGACGGTGGTGGCGTCTGCCCCGGGAGCCCTTGGCGGCGAGCTGACGGGTCGCGGGGCTGGGAGTGCAGGTTCCCCCGGGCCCTCCCGCGGTGCGTCGGGGGCTTGTGCTGGTGGTAGCGTAGTGGCGGCCTCGGTAGTAGGCCGTGGCCCCGTTTCCGGCAGTGGGGCTTCTGGCGTTGCCTCCGGAATTCTGGCCCAGTCCGAGTCCTCTGGGTCCACCGGCAGCGTCCGGCGGCGTAGCTGGTCGATGTGCCTGTGTAATACTTGGCCGTCCTCGCACGAGACCTCATACGATCTGGGGCCCTTCACTCGGATGACCCGAGCCGGAATCCAGGTGGGCCCCTTGGCGTAGTTCCGTGCGTACACCGGATCTTCAGTCTTCAGGAAAGAACCCCCTGGCGGCCTCGTGCGATCCAGCCGAGACATCAGGCGGCGGCCCAGCAGTAGTTCCGCCGGACTGCGCCCCGTAGTGGTGTGGGGCGTT